CAGGCGCTTGTGCATTTCGTTTCGAACCTAAATCATCCGCGATCGTCTCGTCTGTCTCACCTCACTCTTCTTGTCAGTCAGCTCGACTCGCTCTCCTCACTGGAGAAATGAAATCTGATCCAATTATTTTTATTACTACAAAAAATCTAAACGCGACAAGCCTACTAGCAATGCTTATTTCATGACACTTTACCAAATAATAAATTAAATGCATTGAATTACTTAATAAAAAAAACTCAACTTCTTAGAGAAACACACATATTCACACACAAAAGCAGATGTTGCAATGCCAAACCAATACTTAAAGCTGAATATCTGGTACACAGTACAGTACAGACCACACTATAATGAACCGATTTAATACCAATGCAATGCATTCCTGTGTGTTCCTCCTTTTCCTGGATGGAGCCACCATCAGTCCACACTAACCAATCCGAGAGACCATAGGGTTTTTAAAGGGGATGTTTACCTGTACCTTCATTGTTTCCCCTTGTAGGGAGCTGTCACTATCATCAATGTCGTCCGGGTGGAGCAGGATGGTGTTGCTGAGCAAATGGTTCTGCACAGCCATTAAATAACGCAAGCTTGGTGACGCTACCTGTTGATGTGGATGGAAGTGCTGCCAGTTAATGAGATTTAGTAAACCGTACGATTTATACAGAAAAAAAAAAACAATTATTTCAAATTACGGATGTATTTTCCCTTGCGAAAAAGAAGCGTATTAATTAGCGTACTGAATGTGCACTTGTAGTGTACTTCAGATCTTAAAAGTGTATTTAAAAAAAAAGTACTTGCAGATAATATATTAATGAAATAAAGGTAATTTAATGACTTAAAGAGAGACACTATGTTTCTAAAAACTTTTTAAAAAGTGTACTTGAAATAATGTAAAATTAAAAATTGTATTTTAAAGTACATTTTAAATCATTGTTTTAATAATCTTCCGTCACGTTTTAAAGAAGTGCACTTATTTTGATGTGTTGACTAAAGCACGTGAAGTACTTGATTATCGTTTGAACTATAGTGTGTTATTCAGTATTACATTTAAAATTAATATATTTTAAATGCACTAAATTGCAGCTTCATCATTACACATGAGTAATTACAATTACATTTAAACACATGATGCATTTAGTTTATCATAAATGCTTGTCAGTACATTCAACAGTACATTAACCATATTTCAAAGACAATAGAAATCATTATGAAATTACATATGAAGATGTACTTAAGTGGGTCAAAAACACTATAAAGTTCAGCTAAATGCATTTAATATAAATGCAAACTTTACAATATTTTTATTTAATTGCAATTAACATGCAGTTAAGTATCTGAAAACATTACCTTCAGTTTACACTTAAGTACGTATTAAGTATATTATTTTAGTAATAGTACTCTTTTTAATATAGTATCTTTATTTAAAAGCGCACTTCTTTTTCACAAGGCTTATGAAAGCTAACAGCTTGTAGAACTGCATCTTTCAACATCAATTCAGTTCACTTAAAAGTAAAAGTATCTCTCATCAAAGTAATTCTTAAAGTCACATACAGGTACAGTGGAGAGAAGCTTCTGAAGGTCTTCCTTGGAAACGGTTTGACATTTGGTGATGAGGAGACATGACTCGCGCACTACAGTCTTCAAGATACACTGCAACAGTTCATCGTTCAGCCTGCAGGGGAAGATGGGAGAAAGTGCTTGCACATGACAGATATTAACTACTAGAGGTCGACCGATAGTGGATATTGCCGATACCGATAGCTAGGTTGAACCACACTGGCCGATACCGATTAATTAACCGATAGTTTTAAAATTGATACTGAACAAAAACTAAAATAGTGCTTTATTAACAAAAACAGTACTGAACCATACTAGCAGTAGTAGTAAAAAAATTAAAAATAATAGTAAATGTTGAAATTAACACACTCTAACAAGGAACAATACTTACACAGCTTTCATTAATCTTAATGCTACAAATGGACTCTTATTTTAAAGTGTTACCATTTCATTTCAACGGTCATGCTTAAAGATGCACATCTTTAAATATATACACAAAGGCTATAGCATTAAAATGATATACATATGGATATTGTATGTATACTCTCAGACTTGAACTGCTTCTATTCTTGAACACTTGATGATTATCTAATCAAAATAAAAGTGCAGCGCTGAGTCTAGGAGAACTCACCGGTATCACACACACTCCGGACGCATTGCATTCAACTCGAGCAGCGGTCTAAAACTGTTTATTTAATCACCAAACGGACACAAGTTTACTTCAAGAATTAACAATTTGGCATGGATGAGTTTGAAGTTCGGTGTTAAAAAAAAATGGAGCAAACGGAAAGAGAAAGCGTGACCTATATTATAGCTCTATAAATGAAGCACACAGACTTAATTCTGAGATATTCCATGAGGTTTTGGTAGGGATGCACCGAAATGAAAATTCTTGGCCGAAGCCGAAAACCGAACAAAATGGAAACACTGGGCCGAAGGCCGAATACCGAAAACGTTTTTTCTAGGTTTTTCCCCCCCATGTATTTTGCCAATTTTTTTTTACCATTGCATAAATTAAATAGCTAAAATGCACTTTTTACTGTTTTGTCTTGCTTTATAAAAAAAAAATCAATTATAAAACAACAATTTAAAAATATTTAACACTGAACATTTTTAACATTCTAGCAGACATTATACCAACAAAGCACAATTTAACCTAAAATTAATAAGTTAGTAATATAATATTTGTTGCCATCAGACCCCCTTCTTGAATCAGGCATGTATTTTTACTGTACAAATAAAAGCAGCCTTGCTGAGCAGAAGAGACTTATTTTAAAACATTAGAAAATATTACAGATCCCAATTTGAACACTATGCGTGTACGTTACAATAAATGTATTAACAGAGCTGTTGCAATTATTATTATCCTTAGTCTTTTTATTTTATTTTACAGAACAACAGTAAAATTACAACAATACTAACATTTGAGTTCTTGCTTTATGTCTTGCTTTATGTCAACTTTTATTTTGGCAGGAAGACCTCAATGCTTCTTTTTGTTGACAACAGTAGATTTATAAACGAGTCTCATTACGAATATGCTGCACGTATTGCATTGTCACATGCAACTGACGAGTAACACTGTTTCAGCGCAGATTTTCCCCTGGATTGAACCCTGGTTAATAAGCAGATCCGCCACGAATTCGTGCAGCGCTGTCAGAATACATGCAATTTGTGCGAAAACATAACGTTCTGCAGTTTATTTACTAATTGTTTAAGGCCATTTCTCGATTTCAATCATCATCTGCTGCTGTCTTGTCTTTTTTGCTCTGCTAGTTTGAGATTTTTATGTTACGTATATGAGGTTGTTTGGTTTAGGTCTGATTGAATGATTAGGGCTACTGTTACTTGTCTGTATGCTTACATTATCTTTGTTTGTATATTGATATTATTGATATATTGTTTGTTATTTTGTTTGACAGTTGGATTGTGTGTATGAGTGAGCTGGTATTGATTTGTTGGTTTTGTGTATAGTATAATTTTAAAGCGGATGTTTTGTTTTTACGAACAGTGTGAATGGTATATGTATTTTAGAGTATGCAAGTATTATGTATTGATTAATTCTTTATATTTTTAGGGTGACAATTTTACCATCAGTCCAGGGACTGCAGATGCAAAATAGCCTTCTGGCTAATTCTGGCACATTGTGCATTTATGTATTGTTGATGTGCATTGTCCCTGTCAAATAAACCTGAAATAAATCAAATAAATAAATACAGTAAACCAGCAACAATCACCCCGTCCTCTTCTCATCGAAGACATGCAGATGCAGTCCTAAACAGTCTCTCGCTGTCGGTGCTTGTAATGATTTTTGCCTTTTTCACGGACAGTTTAAATGCTTCCACACTGCTGACGTGTGTGTTGCATTATAAAGAGTGCGCGACTCTCACCACCTGATGGCGAGACACACTTCTCTTTGTATTTCCGGCTCTATCTGATCGTGAGGAGCCATGAGTAACTGCCACAGCAATAGTCCAGAGCGCTTCACACAGTCTCGGTTCTGCTCTGCATTTAGATTAAAAAACTGGAACACAACCTGGATTAAAAACAAACAAACATATTTTTATAATATTTAAATTTCTAACTTTATGTAATATTTTTTATGCATAGTTAACAAAATGATCACTTCTACTGAACAGTTTCATCATAATTGGTCGAAAGTCATTTAAAAAATAATCTATTATCATCTACCTTTATTTTGATGGTCCCTTTAACACATTCTGTGGACTATACGTAACGTTGCACCTACATATCTACTAACTCTCATTAGAGTATTAGTAGACTGGTAGGGTTAGGGTTAGAATAAGTTTACATGCGGGTCAAAGACGAAAAAGGGTTTACGCATAAAAACAATAAGTGTAATACTGCTTTAAATTGTTGTTGTTGTAAAAAAATACTGTTTAATTTAATTGCAATTTTGTTTTTGTTTTTCTGAGCAAAAAATAAATATCATACATTTTCCCTGATTTACTAAAATGTCATTCAGCGTAACAATCTTGTCAGGCATATTTACAACAAAAATCAATGTATGACATATTAAAAGACTAATTACTTTCACCCCAAATATTAATTAGTTGTAATTTTACATTTTTAAAATGTGCCACTATCCTAGGTTTTGCCCATTGGTCAGTAAGAGTTTTTTACTCATTAAAATATATAAAAGAATAAGGGAGCATATTAAATTTGATTATGTACACGTCAGAATAAGCATGTTTGAATTTTTACATAAATATTGTGTTACACTGAATGACAATGTAAATAAAAATAGCAAATTCTGACATTTTATTCTCCAAAAACTTATTTGAAACCTTAAAAGTAGACAATTTACTTACATTGAATGTGCTTTCTATGGACACAAAATCACTTTTGTAAATTTATTTTGATGAGGGCATCTTAACATCTTTGACCCATGTACTTGCAAAGTTACTTACAGTCAGTCTGTTGGGAGACCACGACAATAAAGAGTTAGCAGATATTAAGCAGAAAGTCTTCTAATACTCTAATGTGAGTTAGTAGACATGTAGGTGCAACATTATTTATTGCCAACAGAATGTTAAAAAAAAAAAGGGAGCATCAAAATAAAGTGTTACTAGAAAAACCCCACCTGAAAGACGACCAGAATGCAGCGGATGATGCAGGTGTCTCCGTGAACCATGGCCTTCTCCATGACGTCACATATGGAGCTGAAGTGGCAGGCCTCCATGGGCTGCTTTCCTATGAAGGGTCCCAGGTGCAGATTACTGCTGGCTGCCAGCAGGTTGAGCTGATGGATGCACATGGCGCCAACATGATGGAGCAGCTGGTTTATCACTTTGCATGTGTCTATCATTTCTTCTGTCATGAAGAGTAAAAAACATATTACTGGGAAACCGATACAGATCACTTCTGTACAAAACATCAGCACACCTAAAAAAAAAAGCAAGTGGCCTATCAGCGCTCCAGTGCACCACTGAAAAATTAACCCTTGTGAAAAAGAAGTGCACTTAATTGTATTGAATATGCACTTGTGGTGTACTTCGAATTTTAAAAGTATATTTTAAAAAACAATAAAACTGTTAGTTGTTGAAATAAAAGGCCACTTAAGTGACTCGTTCACGACTGTTTCTTAACACACTTAAGTACACTTTTAAGAAGTGACCTTTATAATAATGTCAAATTAATGTGTTAATAACCCTGTCATGTTTTATAGTACTTATTTTGATGTCTTGACTAACAAACTGAAGCACATGTAAAGCACTTGATTATAATTTTAACTGTAATGTGTTATGTAATATTACATTTAAAATTAATATATTTTAAATATACTAAATTGCAACTTCATCGTTACAAATGTGTAATTACAAATCGTTTTAAAAACAAGACATACATATTGTAGTTCATCACAAATGCTTGACAGTACATTCAGCAGTACTTTAACCATATTTCAAAGACAACAGATGTAATTATGAAATGACAAAGATGTACTTAAGTCTTACTTAAGTCGGTCAAAAACACACTAAAGTTCAGCTGATTGCATTTAATATACATTTTAATTATAATACATTTCTACTTAACTGCAATTAACATGCAATTATGTGTCTGAAAACATTTACACTTAAGTATATTCTTTCAAAAGTATACAGTAATAAGTGCTCTTTTAAAAGTATGCAAAAGCGCATTTCTTTTTCACAAGGGATATTTAAGCAATATAAGCTTTCATCACTATTAACAGCTGGAAACTGTGCCTGGTTAGGACATGGTGTAATGTTTCGAAAGTCGAAAATGTTACGTTGTACAATCTTACGCCATACAAAAATCTATTCCAGCTAACCGTTTTGTACTTTTTGTTTACATAGGCATATAGTTTCAGTACCTTTAGGCTGACTGATGACGTGACTGACGCCCAGTCGCTGGCACACATGATGGAAGGCCTGATTGCCAGGATTACACCACTGGTCCAAGTAGTCGCTGGAGCACGTCCAGATCAAGTTGTTAAGTGCATCATAACAGGCCCCTGGAACAGCCATTATCAAAACATAACATCAGTACTCATACAACACTTAAGAGAGATATTTCAGGAACACTTGAAGAATGGAAAAATATATATATAGATTAAAACTATAAATCCAAGACTTAAAACACGGAAAAATAACAACCTGAATGTGACGCAGTGTTATTTTATACTATTACAGCATTTAACAATATTTTGATCTAGCGTTTACTTTTATATTTTCAGTTTATTTTAGATACATTTTAGCAATTTTGTCATGCGTTTTGTCATTTTGTAACACTTTCTAAGAAGCCTGTATATTAATAATGCATAAGGGTATTCTTAATGCATGCATAATGCTTTATAAACAACCTTATAATATGTTGCATCATCTGATAAATAATCATAACAGTTACAACACATTATAATACTTACCTATTTGTGGTTATAACATTTAATAATACGATGCATTAGAACAGTAGATAAAGCCTGCATTTATAATGCATCAAGAGTATTCTTAATGCACTATAATGCATGCATAACACCTTATATTTATATATATATATATATATATATATAAATACACCTATTTGTGGTTATAACTTACAATGCATTATAAATAAAGGCTTCATAGAAAGTGTCACCATCATTTTTATTATCACTTTTATTTTATGATACAAAGAAAAAAAAATACATGAATTTGGTCAAAACCTTGATTTTTCTGTTGTTTTTGGATCAAATAAAGTCTTTCAAGTGACGTTTTTCATAAATTTCGAAAAATTTTAAATGTGCATCTGTGCTCATGTCTTTTTTTTTTTATGTCTGTCACAGTCCCAGTGCATATTGGTGAATTAGTCTGAGATGCGATTAGCTTTTTTGCATCATGTTAAGTGTGAAAGGACCTTAACGTGTGGAAATGTCTGATTCTTACCCAGTCCTGCAACCTGAGCTCCGCGACCCAGAGAACTTCCAGGAGCATCGACCAGATCAGCACGACTGCTAAACTGACCGTCGGCCAGGTTAAACACCAAACTAGACGCCAAGACTAGGAAAGAAAACACAAGGCAGGGAATGAAAATGGTAACAAGAGCTTGAGAATGTTTAATAAAAGCTCCAATGTAAATAACTACTGGATTGCATGGACTTTATTAAAGTTCACTAGGTTTGGAACAACAAGAGGGTGAATAAATGATGCAATAATTTTTGGGTGAGCTGTCCCTTTAATTGTTATGCATTTGATTAGGTAACAGCGGTGTTAAGAATGGATAACGTTAAATGATTAATCACCATTCTGACACTATTCATGATAGAGATCAGTATGAAACAGTGCTTAATTAAAATGATTGTTTAGGGTATAAAGATCTTACTCTTGAGGGAAGAAAGGCCACTGGAGCCACCGAACAGCGAGCGTGTGGCCGAGCTCCCAGCTACACCTGGAGCGGGCGCCAGCATCACCAGATACGTCCCACACACGTACATCGGCGTCTTCCTCAGTGCTTTTATAGACAGACCACAGCTTGTGTTGACTACTGGGACGAGAGAGAAAAAACAGCCACAAGAGCCCACGATCAACACTGCGATTTAAACTTTTCCAATTCGCCAGGGCTATTATAATTAACTAAAGCTAAAACCATTAAAAAAACACTCTCGTGTTCATTTAACTTGATGTACTGAAACAACTAAAACAAAAAAAAATTATAAAAACTTTAAGGACAGATAAAGACACACAACAAAACTGCTAAAATGCTCTAACTAAAATCAAAACAGAAAATTTTATTTTATAAAAAAATATATAATACTGATAAAAACTATAATAGGCTATAGCATCTAATTGCATCTCAATGATCCTAAAATGACATGAAAAATACACAGTTGGTGTACACATCCAAAACCCAAAATTGGTCACATTATCTGGGAACAAATTAAAAATAAAAGTCTGCATACTGAACTCGAGATCTGAAAAATTTGTATTTAAACAGTGCAACATTTCGACTGGTCAGGTGTTCATCAGGCTCTAAAATAACACTTGAACGTCTGATGATTGTAAACGACATCAAATCAATATAACGATAGTCGTTAGTCAATGTGTATTTATATATACACATAATAAATATACACAGAACACACATATATTATGAAAACAAAAACTTTTATTTTGGATGCCATTAATCACAAAAGCACGTTTTGAAACAACACAGTCTCTCCTGTGCAAAAATGCTAATCAAATTATTTTTAATTTTGGTTGAGCACAAATTTATTTTTGTTAGAACTAATAAATCTTATTAAAGTTCTTTTTTTAAAGAGAGGACATTGAAAGCTTTGAAAATAACTAATAAAATCAATCTCTGCTGGGTTTTTTGTTAGGTTTTTTGACATGCAGATGAAGCCTCAATATTTTATTTGTGGGTTTAACATTAATAGATGGTCTAAAGCAAAAGAGCAGTACAAATTCTAAAAATATTTTAGAGCTCCTTGTATTCATAAATCTGTATATATTAAATTATTTAATTTGCAAGTGTCATTGCTTTATTCATGTAAGCTATAGCTTCTAACCTTTAAATCAAAACAGACTCGTGATGTTATGAGATTACTGCTTTATTTATATCTTAATGTTATTTGTGTATTTTACTTTTCATTTTATTACAAGTAGGCCTACAGCACTCCCTAAATAAATAAAACACCTAACACACCCAGAGCACATGTGAGTTATTCATCTTATCGGCAAGGCATATCGGCATACATATTTTAAGCCTTTATCGGTCGATTCCGATAACGTCCAATAATATCGTGCATCCTCAGTTTTAATATTTGAAGTACACTACAAGTGCACATTCAATAAAATTAAGTGCACTTCTCTTTCACAACAGCTCCCATTATAGAAACTAAGCCAAAGAAGCTGGTGCTTGGGAACAGGCGAGGCACAAACAACATACAGCAGCATTACCCGACTGCTCCTCTTTGACGGGGTTGGTGATGGCGGAGCCGGTGAGAGCAGCCAGCGTGGACGAGTGCGAGGCACGAAAGCGGGACATACGGCTCAGGAGTAGCTCATTCAAACACTTCGATGACTCGCCTTCCTTTCGCGAGAGGATTACCCGATCCTGTAGAGGACTGGCCACACACAGACCCAACTCAGTCTGGAAAACACACACACACACACACACACACACACACACAAAAAACACAGTGGGAACTTGTGAAATTAAGGTTTATCGAACACTTATTTACTTGCAACATTTATGATAATTCCCTTGTGAAAGAAGTGCACTTAATTGTATTGAATGTGCACTTTTATTATACTTCAAATTTTAAAGGTATATTAAAAAAAAAAATCTGCACTTGCAGGTAATATAATATTAATGAAATAAAAGGCCACTTAAGTGACTTAAAGAGAGACACTTTCATGACCGTTTCTTAACACACTTAAGTATAGTATAGTATATATTTATTTAATGCCATGTCAGCATCAAAGGCTATTTTCATGGCAAAAACAAACAAAAAAAAATACAAGTATAACAAATACAATAAAAACCCGCAAACAAACAAACACAAGTTATATCACACAAGATTTTTTTGCATTAACAGGTGATAAAAATTCTAAAACATTTCCTGGCAAAATTCTATTAAACTCTTTAAGTGAGTTCAACACACTTAAGTACACTTTTAAAAAGTGGTACTTTGCAATAATATCAAATAAAATGTTTTACGTTTTTAAATCATTATGTTTTAATAATCTTTGTCCTGCTTTAAAGTACACTTATTTGAAAGGGTTGACTAACATACTAAAGCACGTGTAAAGTACTTGATTATCATTTTAACTGCAGTTTGTTATTCAATATTACATTTAGAATGAACATATGCACTAAATTGCAGCAGCATCATTACAAATGTGTAATTACAAATATATTTAAATATATGACATACTCGTGTCAATAGAAACAACATTAAAGTATATTTTAGCTGTCAGTACATTCTGGAGTACTTTAACCATATTTCAAAGACAATAGAAGTTATCATGAAATTGCATATAATTTACTTTTTGTTTTAAGTGGGTCAAAAAAGCACTAAGATTTTAACTAATTGCATTTAGTATGAATTTGAACTAAAACATTTTAATTTAATATGTAATTAAGTGCATTCAGTTCATACTTAAGTATTTTCTTTCAAAGTGTATTATTTTTACTTTAATAAGTACTATTTTTTTTATAAGTTTGCTAAAGTGAACTGCAGTTATTGCATGCAATAGAAAACTGTAAATGCACATATAAATCTGCACAGAGAACATAATGAAATCAGTAAGTCTGTAAATCTCAAGTTCATACTGTTAGCTGGAAGACATCCATGAAGACAGAGTGGCCTTTCTGGGTTTTCTCGTTGATGCTGACAGGTGACCAAACCCAGTAGAGGAAGGTACCATCAGAACACAGACGCAGGCTGGTCAAGCTGCTGCCCACTGGGAAATGATGAAGCGGCATCGCTACCACTTGGGAAACCTTCAAAAGAGAGAAACGGGGAACTAGAAGCTTCCACAACTAACGCATTTGTAAGGGCCTAGTCAATATATAACATCATCAATAATGTTACACATCTGATACGTTTCAATAAAGGTACCATGCAAGAACATGCCATATGTATTGCATTTTATTTTAGATTTTCTTCTTTACAGGAATTCATAAAGGCCATTCATACAGGACGCAAGACATAAAATGGATATAATATCTGAAATGTAATATTCAGCTAAAATGAAAACTAAATGATGACCTTTAATCTGTCCGTTCAAATATTACGCCAGCAATGTTTACTTGTTCTCATAATTATTATTGTGAGGATAGAGATTTTGGTTATGGTCTGCTGACTGTGGTACTCAATCTGCAGTGCAGTACTGCCATAACTTGATAAAAATGTTGATTAAATCTGGCTGGTCTAAATGTTTTGCATATGATAGCACAAATCATGCAACGGTTTCATTTTCGAGCATACTTATAAAAAAATCCAGTTGTTTATATTTATAGGATTAGAAATAACAGAACACATACATGTGATGTAAATGTGAAAGTGCAGTGTGCAGGATGATGGTTTGAGATGCAGGGGTCGTACCTGCAGTGTGAAGGGGTCGATGACCTGGCACAGCTGATGAGGTTTGGTGTCAAAAGAGGCTGGACGGTGGAGCAAAAAGCCACTGCTGTGTGCCAACCACCCCGCCTCCAGTTCCTCATTCCGACAGTACACAAAACCCCTGGGAGGAAGGGCAGAGGAAGAAGTTTTAGGTTTAAGAGATGTGCCAGGATTGTCGACAATTAGTGGAGTTGATTATTTTTAGCAGTGGTGCGTCCCCGTATTTCAAAATGCTTATAAATCATTCAGAATGAGTTTTTTTTGAAAATCTAAAAATGCAGAAAGTCTCCTGTGAGGGGTAGGTTTAGGGGTAGGGTTGGTGTAGGGCAATAGAAAAGACGGTATGTACAGTATAAAAACCATTACGCCTGGGCTTTATTTGTTTTTAATTTAGGTTGTAAATTGTTAAAAATGTTGATTAAAAAGATGCAATAAAAAATAAAACATTACGCCTATGGAATGTCCCCACAATTCACAAAAACAAACCTGTGCGCGCGTCTGTCTGTGTGCGCGTCTGTCTGTCTGTCTGTGCGCGCGTCTGTCTGTCTGTCACCTATTAAGTTTTGTATGCATTTCTAAATTCTGCTCATTACTTATAAAGCTTTAAATGGTCAAGCTTCTCAGTACCTAAGCAAGCTCCTATCCAGTGCTGTTATTGGTAACTAAACTATCATAAAAATAAATAAATAAATAGTTTCCATTAACTGAAATTAAATATATAATTGGATAAAAGCTTAAACTCTAAGTAAACTGGGAAACACTTTACAATAAACAATAAATCCTTAGTTAACTACATTAGTTAACATGAACTAACAATGAAAAATTCTTCTAAAGCATTATTCATAGTTAATGTTAATCTGTTAATATTATTTAATGAACCTGAATATTCATAAATATTGTAACCAATGTATTGCTCATTGTTAGTTAATACTAGTTAATGGATTAACTAAGGTTAACCAAGCAAGGTATAGGTTAAAAATCTAAAAATAAATATTATAATAGTGTAGAATTAAAAATAATAAAAATGACAAAAGCACATAAAATGACAAGCTTAAAATAAAATTAAAACTGAAAATACACAAATAAAAGCCAATTCAAAATATTAATAAATATTATAATAGTATATAAATAATAATAATAATAATAATAATAAATCACACAATACTCCATCAGGTTAGCAAAATCCTGGCCAGTTAATAATGCACAAAATCCTATTTTTCCTATTTGGTTTCTAAACTCTTTCTAGAGTTTGTAATACATTCATTTATATAAATGTTTGTAGTGCTATTTATCTAATTAAACGAGAATCTGCTGATACAGATAGAGGTACACTACTTGCTATTTAGCATCTGCTATTTAAAATCAGGATTACAATTTCTAAGCTGTTAAACTGTTACAAACATCCCGGTCTCCCCTGTTCTGTTGAAAAGTTCCTTTAAGCAAAATGTGACCCTGGAGCACAAAAGCAGTGTTAAGTCGCTGGGGGATATTTGTAGCAATAGCCAACAATACATTGTATGGGTCACAATTATACATTTCTCTTTTATGCCAAAAATCATTAGGATATTAAGTAAAGATCATGTTCCATGAAGATATTTAGTAAATTTACTACCATAAATATATCAGAACTTAATTTTTGATTAGTAATATACATTGCTAAGGACTTCATTTGGACAACTTTAAAGATGATTTTCTCAATATTTTGATTTTTTTGCACCCTCAGATTCCAGGTTTTCAAATAGTTGTATCTCTCACAAATATTGCCCGATCCTAACAAACCATACATCAATGGAAAGCTTATTTATTCAGCTTTCAGATGATGTACAAATCTCAAATTCGAAAAATTGACCCTTATGACTGGTTTTGTGCTTCAGGGTCACAATTGGGTTGAAACATGTCCAAGACATTTCTTCATGAGATTCGCCCATAAGATTGAGGAGGTGCTAGAAGTTGACATTCAAGAGAGGAATGAAACACTGACGTTCATCGACAACAGAATTTCACGGGGTCCAAACGTGTAACAAATATAGTTGCTCACAGAGCAGAAATGAGAAAGGCAGCAGAACAAAGCAGGAGCTGTAGAAAGAGCACAATAGTGGCCTGGAGGTCACTGGCACAAACAGAAGAGCAGGGCAGGGCAGGAGGCGAAGTGGAGGTTGTGTGGTTTTAGAGTTACCTCAGCGTCCCATGCTGCCCCGAGCCCAGCTTGCTTAAGCCCTTCCCAAAAGAGTTTGTCGTGTAGAGATAGAAACCATCTGTAGCCAGGCTGCGGCCCAGGTCCGAGTCTGAGACGGGCAAACAGAGAGAGAAAGATGACAGAGAGTGTCCGAGGAGGCAAAAGACAGCAGAGACGCACCGCAAATTCATTTTGAAAGGGAAAAATTACTTCTAGTTAACAGCAAAGTAGGAGCAGAGACTGTACTGTATGCTTAGGGCCCTATGAAATCCGTTTCATTTTTTTCCCAAATTCCACTTTTGTCAGATATATATATTTTTTCATTTAAATGAAAGCAATACTTTCAGGTTTCGGGTCGGGTTCGGGTTAACTTTTAATGAATAGCTTCGGGGTCGGGTTTATAGCTAAACTAAAACTATATGCAGTAGCCTAGTCTACGCTGTTTTCATAGACGCACGAAACACACGACGACAACAGCACGGAAACTTTTATTAGTAAAATAGCTTCGACAGGCTACTGACTCGCAACTTTATATTTCTCTGCAATGAGGGGGTAAAATCGCTGTTTTTGAGGGAACTAAGCCTCATTGCTTGTAGAGAGAGGCGCGCAGATGCAGGTTCACACACGCAACTTTCATCCCTCTCTCTCTCTCGCTAATTCAAATAAATGATATAATTAATTAATTCCAATAAATGCGATCTTACCGCACTGCATCTCTGTGTCTGATTTAAAGCAGGCCGAATGCTAACGAGCCGTAACTGACGAAAATGACCATAATTTGCACGATGGAAGAATTTATGCGACCGAGGCACCTGATGTTCATAAACTTTCATAACTGGTAAGTGTTTTTTCTTTTGCCTTGTGAACTGGCCGAGCCTTAATGATTCTGTTTCTTTACATGTATTTGTTTACTGACCGTTGCATGCAATCGTGAAATACAGCATTTTATTTAAAAACTGGCTATTCGTTGTGGAACAAAAAAGAAAAAGATTTCGGGTTGGGTTCGGGCTCTAAATTGAACTGTGCCGCTCGGGTCGGGTCGGGCTGGGTCAGACGACCTCGGGTACGGGTCGGGTTCGGGCTTCAGATTAAAGCCTGTGCAGACCTCTAATTTGTAGAGTAATTTACAACAGCTTCGAACGCAGCTCAGCCAATCAGAATCAAGGACCGGAACTCTCAGTTTTATCATTTTAATTCAAATTCTATTTTAATGGTAAACTAAATAATAACCATAAAGCATGTCTAATTAATTTAAATAATTAAACTTCTACAATTTATTCAAAGTTAAACTAAAATTATATGTTTATGGCCTATGAAATATATATATTTTTTTCACGCATTCAGTTTTATTTTTCACAAATACCATTTTTTCCCTTTTTGTTTGTTTTACCTTTTTGTAATGGTTTAATCAAATTTTAATAATCAAAAAGCATGTCTAATCAATTAAACTGATACAACTTTTTAAGAATTTATTCAAATGTTTACAATAATAGGGCCCTAGAAAATCTTGGTTGTTTGTTGTTGTTTTTTTTCAGCAAATTCTGCGTTATCTCTTTTAATTTTCCAGGAATTATGATTTAATACAGCTTTATTACCAAAAACGGTGGTAATCAAATTAAGGCATAAAAAAATAACAATTAGTGCTGCACAAAAGAGGTTTACTGTTAAAAGTTAAATCTGAAATAAAATGTGTGATATTCCTTCAAAAATAAATAAAAACACATTTATTATTATTAATTTGAGAAGTTCATTCTACTGTACTATAGTTATATATTTCTGTTACAATTTCTTTAGGTAAAACTAAACTTGTATTTTGACAGGTTGTCATGAAGACCACACAGAGAAGCAAAAAAAAAAAAGCAGAATAGCTTCATATTTTTTTCATAGTCTGTTTACACAGGCACTGTGTAAGTGCAAAACCCTACTTTTGATTTATTCATCCAAAATTTGTCAAATTCCATGACATTCCGTGTTTAACTGAACATTCCATTTTTGTGACTGGATCCGGCGATTCCGTCCACGTTGCAGAAATCATAGGGCCCCACGTACTGTATGTTGTAGCATTTCTGAAACTGAATAAAGTTTCTCCTATGGCAAATGTTGTGTTCAATTGTTGTTTTTAGCTGCGTCAGAGATTGTGTCCTTCGAAGGCTGCATTTGAAGACCGACTGCTTGACCACGGTGTGACGAAGGCTGTCCAAATCCGAAGGCTCCTTCAAACGCGGCCTCGAAATGTGCCCTTCGTTTCCCGGGCAATGAAGGATACAACCGATGGATCCTTCATCCCAAGATTCATTGCGTGCCGAAGATGACATGGTTTGTTTTTTTGTTTTTTTTTGAGAAAATGCCGGATTACACTTTTAAATATTTCTCGAATATCTAACGATACAAATGTGAGGAAAAAACTCTAAAGCTGTTCAGATGTTGACATATCTTACAGAGATGCAATTTTATAGATGGTTTATACTTATTACATGCATAAATGGACCGAAGTGAGCATATTTTAAAGGGGTCATATGATGCTTTTTTAAAGATCATTATTTTGTGTATTTGGTGTAACAGAATATGTTGACATGCTTTAATGTTCAAAAAACACATTATTTTTCAAATACTGTACATTATTGTAGGTCCTCTATCCCCCGCCTCTCTCAAACGCTTCGTTTTCTACAAAGCCCCTCCTTCCGAGCTTGTAACACTCCAAAGAGAAAGGAGAACTTGAAATTGCATCATACGACCCCTTAACAGGTTGTGAACCTTGTTTAGTTTTTAGACTGTTGAATCACTTTCAAAAAAGTCCAGTACAATCGCTACTGCCGCTCATCAACGGGACAAGATCAGTCCTTCACACACCAGACCGTCCCATTTCACAACGCTCAGTCCGACCTTCGCACCCTTCGAAGGCGTGGCCTTTAAAGTCCCCATCCTTTGAAGGATCCAGCCTTAGAATTGGGACGCAGCTATCATGTTCAAAGGGTTGAGGCTGAGACACAGCCAAATATTTGATTCATGCCCAAGCAGAAATTTATTATAAAAAAGCAGCAACACAGTAAACATATGTGGACACCCCTGCTAATTAATGGGTTTCCAGTCATTTCCATAAGGATACATATTAATGCTGCTGCATGCAATGGCATTTTAGAGCCATCTCGCCGGTACAAACACTGGTCAGCCATAATTTCTCCCTCACCTTTGCTCTCTGCTCCAGCGGCGCTGCTCTCTGGCGTGGGCAGCATGTCCTCAAAGCCCCACGAAACACTGTGTTTCACTCCTAACAAACAGGACGGTGAGCCTGGACCTCCCTCAAGAAGCAGCAGTCTGCAAATGAGAGGATTTTACGCTTTTCTGAGCAGCAAATCAGCATGTGAGAATGATTTCTGAAGGATCATGTGATGCTGAAGACTGGAGTAATGATGCTGATTTTTTGGGAAATAAAATTTTACGGCATATTCACATAGAAAACAGTTAGTTTAAATTGTAATAATATTTCACAACATTACTGTTTTCACTATATTTTGATCAAATAAATGCAGCTTCAGTGAGCAGAAGAGACTTCTTTCAAAAACATTTTTTAAAAATCGTAATTACTCTTAACCGGCAGTGTACTGTATATGGCTGGTGTAAACAGTCACATGACCAAAGCCGTTTCATTTCTGTTTGCCACTCTGAAAAATCATGTCACTCAAGCAACCAGTAAATCCTTTCATAAAACACATTCAACATGAAGATACAACTCCGTCTAGTAAAGACGTTTTAAAACTGGTTAATAATTCCCACCCTGTTTATTCTGCACCATTCATAAGCGTTAACTACCAACAGAAGCAGTTTAATATGTCTTCACAGACAGTAACAGTTAGACACATCTCACCTATGGAGAACATCCGCCACTGGAAGCTGACCCAGGTCTGTCTGTTTCTGCAGCAGGTGGACCGTGTGAATGAACGTTTTGAGGGAACCCCTGCAAACACAGACAGAGCAACAGAGTTTCCTTGCTGTATTTTCCTTCCTTTCTTGACTGCCATAGTGATGCATATAGCGATGAAATCAAAAGAGACTCCTTCCTAGACATATCAGATCAAAAGTGCTTGAAGGAGAAGCACTGAGACACTTTAGTACTTAAGTGCTGTGTGTCTCAGCTTACCATTTATGATTGACTGGAAAAACTGATTGTTTAAAAGGGCCAAACATACATTAAGAGTACCATACTTGACAACTGGGGCAACTGTACTGAGAGACATACATTTTAACTACCAGAGATAATCATAATTCTCCAGTTTTGTCGTCCAGACAATTGCTTTGTAGTACAAATTTTAAGAAATGTTATGTTTAAATATGGAAATGAGGCATTATTAATTAAATACGATGAAGCCAGGTTCAAAGATCTTCATTTTGTTGACATATTAGGGATTTTGGAACAATTTTTATCACTCCATAAGAAAATATTGCCAACAGAAAAAATTCACCTTGTTTTTAGAAATTAAATAGAATATAAATCAGGTAAATTATATTAACAAACCCCTTGGTAAAAACCTTTAGAATATAGATAGGAATAAAACGCGTTTTGTAGCATTTTCCTTTAAATGTTAATGAGCTCTGCTGACTCCGCCCCTCTCTTCCGAGCTGCTCTCTGAGAGACTGTTTACTTTAGCCGCATTCATCGTGAAACTTGCTAATTAGCACATTATTAGGAAAGGCGATTTGCAAAGATTCATTACAAAACATTACTCACTTCTTCTGTGGATGAGGCTGGATCATGAATGATTCGCGCGAACATAGACGCATTTATGTAGATCGGGGGCGCATTCCCTTCAGAAACAAATGCAATCCTCTGCGAGTTAAGCGGCTCAGATGTCGGGAGTAAATGACGACTGCTGTGTTCATGATTACATCCAACAACAGAAGAACTCAATCGCTCAGGAGTCATTCTTGTCTACATCTGCTCCGGCGGTGAAACAATGGCGGACTGATGACAGTCACTCAGGGCGGAGCTAAGGTAAGACACCAGTCCAGTCTGTGCTGAAACGCTACTGTCAATCAAACTATCGTGGGAGGGGCCTGTCTGTGTGACGTCACACAGACAGGCATCTGAGATCGGCTCGATTTGAGAAAGGGGAAAACATTTAACCAGATTTTTTAAAAAACACTGGGTGGATTTTTATCATTATAGGGTGGATGTGTACACACACTGCCAACACACATTTCAGTTCAAACAACTTGTAAAAGTGCATGTAGCATCCTATGACCCCTTTAAATGTCTATTTTGGATGGTTTCCTCCCACTAATGTAAAAGCCAAACCGTGGCTGGAGAATGGTACGGATCGATTTTTTTAACAACAACAAGAACTGTTACTCCCCTACTAGTGATGCAACTAAATGTTGGCCAAAATAGTTTTGGAGGGCCGAAATCATTGACTGAAACAGTTAGTGTTTCTCTGATGGTGAATTTTGACTGTTTCAGTGTCTATTTTTGTGCTCACAACTGGATAAACTACACCAGGCAAACTTAGTGCTGGATTAACTAATGATTTCTTGTTTTTAACTCTTAAATCTCATGATCGATCTTTTAGTCTACGCTGTTTTCTGCTGCATGAACTTCACTAATCATTATTAGTAGCACCTGCCATCCAATAATCATAGTAAGCTTTGTGCTTGGTAACTTTTAATAAGAAAAGTCCAAATTTGAAAGTCTCAGCTTTCAAATTCTGCCCATTTTAAATCACAAAATACAAACAATAAATGTGTTTTTGACGCTCTTTACTGAGGTGTGACAGATCGCTGTAGCACATCAATTCAAAAAGCAGGGGAACCAATCATCTCTTCCTCTTTACTACTAGTTATAGCACCAAATAAATATGAAATGAATATAAGAAGGTTTTGAAAGAAACAGAACAACTTACTGAAATGTATCATGTCTCATGTAATCTCTCAGTCAGTGTTTCAACCACAGAAAGACATCAGTAAATTAGTTTGTAAACAACATGCCACATCACATTTACTTCAGGAAGACATTCACTGTCCATAAACACGTTAGTCGGCTAGAAAAAAAACTCTAGAGAGAAGCATTTTGGTAAATATATGCACTATATTACATATTCATTATATTTTTACTCAACCCGTTGTCTTCATTATTTAATGTATGTTTGAATAAATTTGGCAACAAGTTTTATTTTTTTTATAATGTTTATATTTCAACAACAAACAAAACATAATTCTGCCATTAAAAAGTTGACAATATGCAATTTAAATGTTTGCATTTGAGCATTGATTTATTACAAACATTTGATCAATTAATTGATTATTAAATACAATTTATTTTCATTTTTGGTTTCCAGCTGCATCAAAAATTAAGCTTTAGCGTTAGTTCTGGCAGGTCACGTGAGTCAAGCTTGCATCAGCTGATTCTCAGCTGATCACATCTACCTATAGGAATACGACACCTATCGCGGCATTCCTATATAAGCTGTATTCAGTATTATTCAGCAGCTTTTTAGCTTGCTTCGGAGCAAATTACCCTCCTCCATCCCCAGCTCCACCTTTCGCCACAGTCAGGACTTAGCTTTCTGATATTCCTTGCTAATCAGACTCCTTTATCTTGAATAAAGTGTTACACTTAAATATCATTGAGTACATTAATGATATCTGCATTGTTCTGTTCTGTTAACCCTAGGGGGGTTATTATTGCTGCTCTCCCTGCTCATTCATGACAGGCTGCATGGATGGGCAGGGAGGTTTTTTGCCCAGAACAGAACCATACCGCCAAACCAAACTTTATGCTAAGTATCTATCATTCTGACGATAGTGGTCCTGACAGAACTTTAATTTCGGTGTTTGATTAAAAAATTATTTTCGGTGCATCACTAAAAATAGCCCAAAATCTCAAAACTGACCAGTGCATGAAAAAAACTATGATTTTGCAAACTATTGCAAAGTGACTAAATGCTATGAATAAAGGCTGAAAACGAACTGCCGCTGTGCTGCGCTCACCTTGCACATGATAGAGCCACTAGAGCAGCTGCTGCGTTCTGCCTCTGCTGTTGGGTGAGCAGTGGTTTCGCCTGTGCCGTTCCCTCCGGCTCACTCTTCTCCTCCAACCAGGAGCAAAGCAACCTCTCCAGGCCATTAAGGCAGTCTGCAGGCTCCTTGCCCAGGCTGAGCGGCTGGCAGTCGCGCAGACACGCGAGCAGGACCTCAGCGGTGACGCCGCAGAGCGCAGGGTCGTGCCGAGTTTGCGACTGCAGTAGTGGAAAGACCAACAGGAGGCCGACCCGTGAGGTAAACGGCGCTTGATCGGTGCCGGCGGCCATCGAAGGGTGGTGAGGATGGTGGTGATGTTGAGGCTGCAGGAATCCCTGTCTCTTAAGCAGGGCCAGCGTCTCCTCATCGGCCCCTCCGGCGCTCCCTGGGAGGACCCCGTCATGCTCCTGCTGCTCCTCCAGGGCCAGCTGTCGCTGCGCCCCCCATAGTCCACGCAGAGCATTGAGACGGTACTCCAAAAGTCTGGTGTAAGCGTTGCTCTGGTTTCCGCAGACGGCTCGCAGGCGCTCGGCAAGCTCCGCTGGGTTCTTGGTCTCGAAGGTCAAGATCTGCAAGAGCACAGAATGGCATAGAAAAACCTGAAGCATATTTTGGCACAAGACCTTCATCAGGTTACTCTAAAATTAGTTACTTGCTTCAATGTTGTCACATTCAGGGATTGTATCTAACATTTCAAGTGGACACTTTAGGAAAAAAATTAAATGACTAAGGAGGTAGGCCCCTTTAAAAGCTAGAATGGGAACACGTCCCCAAAATTATTAGTTGAATTATTGTTATTTATTAATTAATTGGCCGAAACAAACAATGGTTTGGTTGAACAACATTTGGTTGAATTCATAATTAATTAATTCTTAATCTTGGCTTAACCAAATATAAAAATATATATATGTATGTGTGTGTGTGTGTGTGTGTGTGTATATATATATATATTTTTTTTATGTGGGTGTGTGAGTGAGTGAGAGTGAGTGTGTGTGTATGTATGTATATATTTGTGTGTGTGTGTGTGTGTGTGTGTATATCTATATATTTATGTGTGTGTGTGTGTGTGTGTGCGCGTTTTGTGACATATGAGGACACAGATTTGTATAATGACAAAGGTATGACATAGGTATTACAAGGAGAAGGTGACTTATGAGGACATTACCCCATGTCCCCACTTTTCAAAACGCTTATAATTCATAAGGAGTGAGTTTTTTTGAGAAAGTAAAAATGCACAAAGTTTCCTGTGAGGGGTAGGTTTAGGGGTAGGGTTGGTGTAGGGCAATAGAATATACGGTCTGTACAGTAGAAAAACCATTACGCCTATGGAATGCCCCCACAATTCACAAAAGCAAACCTGTGTATGTGTGTGTGTGTGTGTGTGTGTGTGTGTGTAAAGATGTCCACTGTAAAGTAATGTCTTAGATATAGATAATAGCCTTTGTTCAGATAAATAACAATTTAGCAAGTCATTTCTTTCAGTTGCAATTATTTCAATAATATTTACACAACCTTTTTTAAATGTCCTTCAATATTTTAAAAGTTAAACAGCATAAAAAAGTGAAAATGTGACACTCAGTAGTACTTAAATAAATAGATGCTCACTATGTTCCCTTAACAGAAATTCTGTGTAACATAAATCGCATAAATCATTTAAAAGACAAACCATTATTAATTACATTACACCCGCACTAGTGGTTGGTACGTTTTTAAATCACAAAATTCTTAAAATGTTGGTTAATAATGATATATCTCACATTATACACATTTCTACGGAACAAATCAAACATAAATTTCCAATATAATGGTAGACCTATGACAAATTTGATGAATTATGGGTTTTTTTTCCATATTTGAACGGTCATGCACAATCAATATAAACCTTTGTGGCAACTATATATAATTATTTGATATAAATGTGTATGTGTGTGTGTGTGTGTGTGTGTGTGTGTGTAAAGATGTCCACTGTAAAGTAATGTCTTAGATATAGATAATAGCCTTTGTTCAGATAAATAACAATTTAGCAAGTCATTTCTTTCAGTTGCAATTATTTCAATAATATTTACACAACCTTTTTTAAATGTCCTTCAATATTTTAAAAGTTAAACAGCATAAAAAAGTGAAAATGTGACACTCAGTAGTACTTAAATAAATAGATGCTCACTATGTTCCCTTAACAGAAATTCTGTGTAACATAAATCGCATAAATCATTTAAAAGACAAACCATTATTAATTACATTACACCCGCACTAGTGGTTGGTACGTTTTTAAAATCACAAAATTCTTAAAATGTTGGTTAATAATGATATATCTCACATTATACACATTTCTACGGAACAAATCAAACATAAATTTCCAATATAATGGTAGACCTATGACAAATTTGATGAATTATGTTTTTTTTTTCCATATTTGAACGGTCATGCACAATCAATATAAACCTTTGTGGCAACTATATATAATTATTTGATATAAATGTGTAATTAATCTAGCCATTACTCTGAGGTAATTTGCTCAGTGCGTGACAACAGGACTTGGTTCCACTGGCTTAGGTTAAAAGAAGTACTCAAAACTTGCTTCATTTCAAGATGGACATGACTGAAAGTACTGAGACAGACGTTTATTCCGTTACTCAATAAACATCTGACTCATGAGCTTCAGTGATGAACAGCACAAAACAACACGTCTTTCCCTTTACAAGCTGCACACAAAAGCACCCGGTTTAGTCCAATTCACAACAAATGACACTGAACACCGTCTGGCTGACGACACAGAGCGTCCAAACATTTTTCAATTTGATTACTTTATATTTGTCCCAAATCATTGTTTCATAATGTACCAACTTCACCCTATGCTGCAAGATCCATTGTTTAGACATTTGTTTAGTAGTTTGTGTTTTAGTGTTTCGACATCTATGTTGAATATAGGGAAATTACATTATAATCGCCCTTTCTAATCTTGCAGTTTGCATTGTTTTCATACATCAAACTTTAGACTCATTGATGTCACTCTGTTCGTTGCTCTGAACTTTTCACTTTAAGAAAAAAAACTGAATCGAAATTGTTGCTAGCCGTGTGCTTTTCTGCCTGTAGTTTTAAAAAATCGGATAAAATAATTGGCATTCATCAAGCTGTATGTGATCAAAATAAAGACACGCAACAGACTGGAAGTGCACAATGACATCTGTGTGGCAAACACAGTAACAGCAAGAAGGCAACAAACAAGAGGAAAAAACAACCAGATGGATCTAAAGGAGGAGAAGGGGTTTCTAGAGGTGTTTCTCAGATGGACACAAAACAAAAAAACAAGTACCAGGTACTTGGGGTTTACTGTTAACAGTATGATTATTTAGTTTTGTTTAGACTTCTCGAATGTTATGTATCCGACATGAATGCATGACATATCGTGATAACAAAGACCTGCACTTGTTAAATTCATAATTATGACTATTGAATTTAAAGTGAAAAGTTCTGAACATCAAAATGTGCAAATACAGCGCTGTAAAAAACTTGACTTGCATTTTTGCAACACTGTAAGTGAGTCTCATCAGATAACCAAAACGTGTACGTTTGGTCAAGTGCAAAGACCATAAGTGTGGTATTGAGACAGGGCTCTGAAAGTAGATGCATCGCAGTTTGCATACTATGCTATGCTATTTTGTAGTATGCATAGTGTGTGACTTTATGCATGTAAAGTGCACTTCAAATACCCGGATGGTGCACTTAATTAACCAAAAAAAATGAAGTGTGCACCAGACGGTAGAGCGGCGATTTTCAAACTGGAGCCTGGGTTCAAACAATGTAAAAAGAAATAAATAATAAAAACACTAAAAGAAATAAATTGTTGATTAAACCAAATAGGCACATAATTTAGTAATTAAATACTATAATAAAGTACTATAATCAGTAACAATATCAAATGTACCAATGTAACTCATTTTCAAAGTAACATTTAATGCATTTTTCACTATATAAATTGGGTCGCCATGCAAGAAACTATATAGAGATCTTTTACATTTTAGGATGGGGTACAAGGATGACAAGATAAAAGATAGCGTACACAGTGCGTGGTGTGTAGTGCATCATTTGGGACACAGCTAGTGTTTATCCAATATATAAGATGCATATAATACACAAGATATTAAAGGGGTCATATGATGCGATTTCAAGTTTTCCTTAACTCTTTGGAGTGTTACAAGCTGATTGTGCATAGATAAGATCCCTGAAGTTGCAAAGACTAAAGTCTCAAAACCAAAGAGATATTCTTTATCAAAGTTAAGACTCTGCCACGCCCCCCTAAAACGGCTCGTTCTAACACGCCCCCACATATCTACCTCACTATGTGGAAATATTTGCATAATGCCGCCCAAATGTGCACGCAAAGAAAGAAGGTGTGGTTTCAGTAACCACAGTTAGTGTTGAAGCAGCATGTCAGGGAGACGCTGTGTGTTTCTAGGCGAAAGCAAAAGCACTTTATTTGGCCTTCCAGAAGTAGATGCATTTAGAAATTGAGAAAACGAAGCGTTTGAGAGAGGCGGGGCATAGAGGACCTACAATAATGTACAGTATTTGAAAAATAATGTGTTTTTTTAACATTAAAGCATGTCAACATATTCTGTTACACCAAATAATGATCTTTAAAAAAGCATCATATGACCCCTTTAAAGGAAGCATCTGTGTCAGAATCATAAGAGAAGCTTAGTCCACACAAATCCAGTGAGCCACTATACTATCTAGGGCACACTAATTCTAATCTCGGATACTATTTAGGGTGGATGGTGTGCGAATTGGGACACATAGATAGTATGTCGCCTAACAACGCCCTTTAGTCGTGACTATATGACTACAATCGCAAAGTTTAACATGACTATTCGTTACTTAACAAAAGGAAAATGACATTGTGTGGTTAGGACATTTGTGCTGTGCTGTGTTGTTGTTGTGCTGTGGTGTTGCTGTGCTGTGTTGTTGCTGTGCTGTTGTTGTGCTGTGGTTGTGCTGTGCTGTTGTTGTGTTGTGTTGTGCTGTTGTTGTGCTGTGTTGTTGCTGTGCTGTTGTTGTGCTGTGTTGTGCTGTTGTTGTGCTGTGTTGTACTGTGCTGTTGCTGTTGTTATGCTGTTGCTGTGCTGTTGTTGTGTTGTGGGGGTGTAAATGCCTCTCTTATGACTACAGTATGTCGTATTTTAACCAGAATTACATGCATTGTCTTAAACATGTGGTTTCCACCTTAGATTGTAACATGAACTCTTCACGCACAGCAGGTCGATAGCTGCCTGCCACGCGCCAGTGAGAGATTCAACTCCTGCTCCTAGCGTTAGCCTGTCTGTCTGTCGAAGCTATGCTAACGCGTCAAACTAACACCAGAGACACACACAAACTGCGTGCCTCTCCTTATATCCGACATTTACATTAACAACATTATAAGCTTCGCTAACATCGACTGGGCGTTACGTGCTATATTTGTAGCGCTAATATTTGATACGGCTAACAGCGGGCTGAGCGTGTTTACATCGCCGGAAAAACGCGAGATGTGATTTAAACGACGCGAATAAACACCTTTTATCGTTCGCATGCTGCTGTCTGACAAGCCTGTGTTGGCAGGATATGAGCTATCCAGGCGAGCCGGGTTAACTTCGGCGTTAAGCTAGTTAAGTTCGCGGCTAACCGATCTGATAAATGCACACCTCCTGCTCGGATTCGCCTTGTTCGGACACTCCGATCTCGCTGGGCAGCTCCGCAAGGTCCGTGACCCGAATCAGTCCGTCGTGGAGGAAAATAGTCTCTTCCTTCACCGACAGCCACTGGGAGGAATCCACGGCACCCGATCCCATCGCTTTCTCCTCCGAGGAAAACGGGCAAACTGGTCAAACACCAAATGCTGCGCGCGACGGGGTCTGGTTCAGCTCGCGCCGGCGACACACACACAGGCATCAACGCATCATCATTGAGCGCGCTGGGACTACTGTGGGGCGTCGCTGCGGATCGATAGGCTCCGGTGTTTTCGGGAAGGTGGGCGTGACACCGGGACAAATTGCGCTCATTCCAAACAAACGCTGACCGCAACCGATTTAACGGCGCTTCAGTGGCTCAAACCTGTCCCAGCTGTCATTCACACTGCGGTTTAAAGGGGTCATACGATGCTATTTCAAGTTTTCCTTTCTCTTTGGAGTGTTACAAGCTGATTGTGCATAGATAAGATCCCTGAAATTGCAAAGACTAAAGTCTCAAAACCAAAGAGATCTTCTTTATCAAAGTTAAGACTCTGCCACGCCCCCCTAAAACGGCTCGTTCTAACACGCCCCCACATATCTACCTCACTATGTGGAAATATTAGCATAATGCGCCCAAATGTGCACGCAAAGAAAGAAGG